CACATGGGAATTGGGGCTTTCCTGGACTCTCTGTGTCAGGCTGGGCTCCCTGCCAGTCCCTGGGCACTGACAGATCTCATCCCACCCAGCTGCTGGGTGACTCTTCTCTAATTCCTTAATTCTCTGTTTTGCAGATTCCATTGCTGAAAAGCCAGCGTGGAGGAAAACCCAGCGTGGGGGAAACACCAGAGTGGGTGAAAACTGTCCTGGCACTGCCCACCCCAGCCTGTGCTTCCCAGATCTTTGTGCTGCTGCTGAGGGATCCCCCTGGGCTGTGCCTGGCACCATGGTGGGGCAGAGCCCTGGCGAGGGCAGGGCTGCTGTGCTCCTGCAGCCCTTCGTGCACCAGGTGGGCGGCCACACCAGCATGCTGACCTACGACGAGCACACGGTCTGCAAGCCCCTGGTGCTGCAGGAGCTGAGCTTCTACGAGTCGCTGCCCCTGGCCATGAGGCAGTTCACACCTCAGTACAAAGGTAAGGGCAGCTGCAGGGCTCTCACCTCCTTAAAAAGCATCCCCAGCTGCTGCAGGTGAAGCCTTTCTATCCACAGAGGATTTTCCTGCCTGCCCCTGTGCTTGCTGTCCCATCCCTGAGCCCCATTGCCAGCCCCTGGAAAGCAGCACTGGTATTTTTTTTAAAGATATCCTCCCTTCCTTTCTCTTTCTTATTCCTTCGGTATTTTGTGCTTTTACTGCCAGACTTGTGCTGCTCATAAAGCTCCTGACCCTGGCTTTTGGGGGAGGTGAGAAGCTCGGTTGTCACGTAAAAACTTAAAATATCTCCTGGTCCTTCGGCGTTGCAGCAAAGAGCTCAGTCAGCCACGGCTCCAACGCTCTTCCAGCCCAATTCTCCCTCTCCCAGAAATTCAGGGACCTCTGCAGATTTATGGGACAATATTAAAAAGATGCTTAAGGGAGAAAAGTTTCCTCTGAGCAGTTTCCTCTGGCAGGAGCTGGGTGCTGCAGTGCAGCTGATAAAGCTGATAAACAGTCCCAGTTTAACCAGTCCAGGGGTGCCCTGGTTATTCCAACCTTTTTGTCTTTTTCTCTCCTGTTTCAAATCCCAGAGAGTTTTATGAGGAGGGGTAATTGAAAAGCAATTCTCCCGTCTGGCATTGGGCTCCCAAGTTTATTCCTCTCTGCTGCCAGGCAATTCAAGAGGTGGAACAATTTCCTATGAGGGGGATGAGCGACCAGGGGGATGATCCTGGTGGCTCCATCCCCCACTCACACTCGTCTCTATTTCTGGGCTGTGGGAACAGCCCTGGGACCATTATGTAATGGTGACATTCTGTGCTATGGTGACATTCTCTACAATAGGGATCAAATATCATTCAAGCCTCACCCCCAGCCTGTGCCTTTTCCTGCTTGCCTCACCCATATCAGGCACTTTGGTGACCTTGGGACCAACTTTTATCCCCTCTGAAGGCCCTGCCTTGTCCCAGCTGAGTTCACTGGGGGTTGCTGGGCTTGTTTTCCAGCCCAGTTCTGCTCAGGTTCCCAGCGCCCTCGGCAGTAAATGAATGTGCTTGTAAACACAAAAATAAACCCACGAGGGCAGAGTTACAGAGTGAAACCTCCTGAGATGCCACCAGCATGGTGACAGCACCCAGAAATACCCTCTGGCTCCTCGCTGGTGCTGGCAGGAGAGGGATTGGGGTGTCAGGGACACCAAAGGCCAGCACAGACAGGCACCCAAAAAACTTTGGAGAGATGATTGCTCACTGCAGCACAGGAGGAGCTCTGGGGTTGTCTGCCACAAACAGGTCACGGCAGGACACCTGCAAACCCCCATGGAATCCCCCCAGGAAACAAAAAGCACTTTTCAGACTGAGCTGTAGGTTTTTTTGAAGATTGAATTTCCAGCTGGGAGGAGGGAGAGGATCACATTCCCTTCCAATTTAACGCTCTCTTCTCGCCTTTGAAAATCTCTCCATTAATTTTCATATTAATGGCTGATATTTAACAACTCTTACTTTCACGCTATATATAAGTTTTTTAGGGCCAGCCCGTCAGCACTATGCAAATGAGCACAGCCCTGCTGATTGCAGGCAGGAACTGGGACAGTTTTTAAGGTTATGGTGTTGCAATCGAGGGCTCTGGTCGCCTCCCCGTGACTTTTTAAAATGAAAAAGGCTTTGATTTAGTCAAAAGACACGCTGGCTTTTTTTTTTTTTTTCTTTCCCTTGCCTATATCCCCTGAAAATGTGAAGCAGTCATCCAGGCTGAGAGGAGATTTGTTTGCTCTCAGAAATATGGATTTTTTAAGAATGGGACTCGGGGAAAAGGTAATGCTGGAGCCTGAGGAAGATGAAACTCCCTGAGCTCACACAGAGGGCTGGGAGGGCTAAAAATATTCCTTTTCCCCCTGATGAAAGTTTGCAGCCCCTCAGTCCCTTGGCAGAGCAGCCTGGGTAGATTTTCCCCCATTTCTGTGCAAAGTCAGCCCATTTAACCCAGCCTGTTCACAGCAATGCTGATTGAACAGCAGCAGGGACCAGCAATGCTTGTGGTGAGGGAAAAGCATCCAAACCCGAGGTTTTTGGGGTGCAGGACCCGGGGAGGGATGGGCACCTTTGCAGGGGTGGCTGCAGGAACAGTTCAGGTGGGAAAACCCCCCTGGGGCAGCAGAACCCGGCAGGCACAGGAGGCAAAGCTCTGCTCGGTGTTTGCTCACTGGAACCGAGCTTGAAATGGAGAGAAGGGGCTCTGCACGTTTGTTTGCTTTGGCACCTCTGCTTGGGAGAGCAGAACTGTTTTGAGCTGCTGAGATCATCTCCCACATGGCCAGCAGACCTGTGAGGATGCCCTGGGCACATCTGGATCCAGCCCAGCTCCCCAAATGCCCAGCAAACCCCTGGTCACATCTGGATCCAGCTCAGCTCCCTGTATCCCCAGCTTGGCTCTCTCCAGTGCTGCTTTGGCTGGTCCCACTGCCCTGTCCCTGGTCCCTGTCCTCTCTGGGAGCTGCCAGCCCCCTGAGCCCCAAATCACAGAATGAACCAGGTTGGAAAAAACCTTTGAGATCACCAAGTCCAACTCTGACCTGACCCCTCCTCATCAACCAAACCCTGGCACTGAGTTCCACATCCAGGCTCTTTTCAACCCCCTCCAGGGACGGTGACTCCAGCACCTCCCAGGGCAGACAATTCCAGTGCCCAGTTTCTTCCAGCAGAGAATTTTTTTTCTGATGTTTAACCTAAACTTCCCCTGGTGCAGCTTAGGGCTGTGCTCGACGAAGGCCCCCGGGGCAGGATGGCGTTATCAGCCTTTCCCAGAAAGGTCAGAGCCCGCGGCAGTGTCGTCCATGGCATTCCTGCGCTGTCACTTGAGACGTGCACGCAGCCAGCCCCGTGCCACGGATGGGCTCGTGTTGGGCTAAATCCGTGCTGGACTGGCTGGTATTTGAGCCCTGTGATTCCTGTCAGAGTCAGGGAAAATTGCAATGTTCAAATGCAGAATGGTGTTTTAAGCATTCAGGGTGGGAAAAAATAACCTCTGGTCACAATCCAAGTCTGTGTCATGCACAAACACCGACTGTGTGACACTCCAGCCCCCCGTGGGATGTCTGGGTGCTGGTTCTTGGTGCTGGGGGAAGGACACGACCATGACAATGAGTGGGCAGCAGTGCCAGCCCATGGCCACATCCCTGCCCTGCTCCCGGGGCTCTCCAAATAAAAGAAGCTGTTGGCACTCTGGGTGTCCTTGGAAAATGCCTTGTCCCCAACCCTCCCTTTGCTTCCTGCCAATGAAAAGCGTTTCCAGCCTCGTGCTGTCTTTAAAAAGCACTTAAATCCCTTGTGATAAATAAGCTGGGAGCCCCTGATCTGGAGCAGGGGGCTTTTCTGGGTCACTCGAGGCACAGCAGAGCTCGGAGGGGTGGGGGACAAAGGAATGTGGAGTTGAGAGGAGGCAGGTTTCAAACTGAGCCTTCAGAGGGGGAACACTTGAAAATCCTGAGAGCATTTTCCAGGGTCTCAGCCTGATGATGTTTTATTGGGCTTGAAATCAGAGTGGGATCAGTAAAAGTAAAAGAACACGAGGTGGTGGCAAAGTGGTGGCCAGGCCTCTGTGACACCCCAGGGGCTCATGTGTCTCGTTTGTTTTCTCTCTGTCCAGGCATCGTGTCCGTGCACCTCAAGAAGGACAGCCTGGGCAACCTGACCCTGATTGCCAGCCCCAGCCTGGGCCAGCAGGACAGCACTGGCGGTGACCCTGCTGTCACCTTGTGGCACAAATGCAAGTGGAGCCACACCCAGGTCACCAAGACCTTCAAAGACAGGTGAGGGTTTGTCACTCCCTGCAATCCTGGCTGGCATCGGCCACTTGGGTGGGGTGGGTTGGGATGGGTTTGGGATGGGCTTGGGATGGGTTTGGGATGGGTTTGGTGGCCCAGCTGTGGGCTTAGGGCAAAAACAGGGCCCTGCCAAGGTGAAGAACAGCAGAGCCAATCCCTGTGTGTAGTTCTGCTCTTCCCTGGTGTGGGGATGGAGTGGGGTGCAGCTGGGATGCTGTTGCTCAAATATGTGCCTCAAATTGTGCTCTAAACCCCATTCCTTGAAGCACAGCAGGCTCCAGGAGAGGAGGGGCCACGGGAGAGCAGTCACAAAGCATGGAACAGAGGGGCTTCAATCCCATCCCATCCCATCCCATCCCATCCCATCCCATCCCATCCCAGGGGAGAGCTCTCCCAGGAAGGCTCCCAGTGCTCCCAGAGGTTTTCTGCAGGACATCCTTCATCCCAAAATTGTTCAGAGCAGCCCTGGACCACTGGGACTGAAGGTGGACTGTCCCTGCCATGGAGCTTTTGGAGTGATGGGAGTGGTGGATTGGGATGAGTGAGACCAAGGAATGACCCCCCAAGAAGAACAGGTCTCCTCATCACTCCTTCTCTCCCTCTCTCCCCTCCTTGGAGCCAGCCACTCCAAATTGGGAATCATTCCCATTGTTGGACCATTTGCCTGTGCTGTGCCCATTAGGTGGATAAATAGAGATCCCTGGCAGCTGGGGCTGTGAATGGCTTTTCAAGGGAGCCAGCACACTTTAAATTATAATGAAAAAAGTATTGGCAGGCAGCAGTAGCTGGCTTTCTGAAAATTACTGTTATGGAGTAACAAAGGATCTCTGCAGGTTGGACATGATCAATATTGTTCCTTTGAGAGTCCCTGAAAATCCACCTTATCAAGTTTGAGGCTCTACAGAAAAAAAAAAAAAAAAAAAAAAAAAGAAAAGAAAAAAAAAAGAGGGAAGGGAATATTCTCCTCTGGAGCTTAAAAACCTGACATGTCCCTTTGTGTGCTTTGTCTAGCTGCCCTGGGAAGATGCTTTTGAGGACAGACCTTCAGTACCACACAGATTCCCTTCTGGAAGAGGCAAATGGGAAGCAGCCGGAAAGGAAGAGCTACAACCCCTGGGGACTGCACTGTCACCGGCAGCACCTGAACCGCATGTCCTCCAAGCACAACGAGAACAAACTCCATCGTATCCTTTCTCCTCTCCCCCCTCAGCACAGTCCTGACTACGGATAACAGCTGGAATTCAGTGTAGGGTTTATTGCAGGGGGATGCATCCCCTCCTCTGCACAGACTCTGGGAAAAGAAGGAATATTTCTGTTATCTTCTCTCACTGTTAAAAAAAGAAAAAAAACCCCACATTTCACATAAAGAGTTCTCAGCAGAAGTCAAAGATCCCCTTGGCATACATTTAAAAACACAACTATACAGGAATTAGCAGCTGCCTCGCCTTTTATTTTCCTATTACACTTCATTACCCACCAGTCATGTGAGTAATAGAGTTTAACAACTTCCCCCACCCACCGGAGCCAGCTCGGCACCGAGGGAAGGTGTCGGAGTGACAGCCCAGGGCTACAATGTCACTGGAGAATGGAGCTGTTGGGGCTTTAATTGGTAGGGCTGTAGTACAGTAAATTAACTGGAATTGGCAGCGAGAGGCCCATAGCAATGACACGTGTGAGAAATTGGCTCAGAAAGTCTCATTACAGTTGTGAGCTGTTATGGAGAGTGTCAGCAGTTGCTTTGATTTAAGGCCTCTTTCAATTAGAATTTAAAAGTATTGGGTTTCCCTTAAGTCACGCTCAGAGTTTCTCCTGCTGGAGAACGTGGTGTCCAAGTGCAGCTATCCCTGCATCCTGGACCTGAAGATGGGCACTCGGCAGCACGGGGATGACGCCTCGGAGGAGAAGAAAGCTCGGCACATCAAGAAGTGTGAGCAGAGCACCTCGGCATCGCTGGGAGTGCGCATCTGTGGGATGCAGGTAAAGCTCCATCCCCTCGCTGTGCTGCTTCCCCTCTTGGGTCAGGAAAATTAAGCCACAAACACCAGAGGTTTTATGTCCAAAAAGGAGACAAAGGAGTCCTTTTGTTTTATTCGAATAAAGGGAGAGGCCATGGGATCTCTCAATTTTTTGGAGGATGTAGCCTCCTTTTTGTCCCAATTTCCCAGTCACATTTCCCTCTCTCTTTCCCCATTGGCTGAGGTACTTGAGAGGTACAGACTTCCCAAACCCCTGATACCTGAAATTCCCCTCTAATGTCTAACCCTCCCTTTTAATTTTTAATTCTTATAGAATTCATAGATGTTCCTCATTGCTTCTTTCATCTTTCAATATCCAATTTCATTTATCAGCAAACCTACAGTTTGTTTGTAAAGGCAAATATCTGTTATTCCATTCATCAGTCAGTGGAATCCTTCCCATTGTTTCTTTTATCTCTCAGTGCTGGTTTTATCTACCAGCAAACCCACAGCTCGTTTGTAAAGACAAATCCCTCATTCCTCTCACTTGGAACCAAGATGGAATCTCCAGGGGTTTTTGGCTGGTGTGAATTGAAGGAGTTTTATTCTCTTTTCTGCCTAAACTGTAAAAAGGTGCCACTCAGCTCTGTGTCCTCTCAGAGAGGGTATCAAATATGGCACATTTAGGGTGACCCTTTCTCTGTGCCACTGCCACGGTGTGAGCAGCTGGAACGCTTCAGCCCATCTGAGATGCTGAGATTCCTCCTCGGCTCTTGGCTGCTGCATGGAAAAACCCAAAAAACATCACATTGCCCCACTTGTGCTTTCACTGAGCCACCCCATCTTGGAGCTGTGAGAGTCCGGGTTTCATTGTGGACTAAATTTCTCCTGCTGGAAATCCCCATCCTTCCTCCTGGAAACCCAAACCATGTATTTCCCTCACTCACTATTCTCAAGCAGGTTTCAAAACCCTGCCTGAAGGATAATTTGAGAGTTAGGAGAATAGAATATAAAGCAAAATATAAATATACATTTTGTCAATATATAAAGTCAAAACCCATGTCCTTTTCTGATCTCTGGCATCTTCCTATGGGCAGAATTGAACCTCAGTGTTCACACTGATGCCTTGGAGTGGCTACTTAGAACAGAGGCTAGACTGAGTTAGGAGAATAAAGTGGGGATTTATTAAAGGCTTTCAATAGATATATTTTGAGCAGTCAAAGCCTCCCAGAGAATACACTCATGGTCATGAGTTTTTCAGACAGATATAAGTTTGGTCTATTTACATTTCAGGGGTTAACTCTCCAATTACAGTTTGAGCTAATGAAGTCACATTCCCCCAGTTTGCTCCTCCCCAATTCACTTTTGTTTATATTTTTCAGGGCCTGAGGGTGTAGGGTGTCCTTGGGTTCCAGACCCAGAGGAATTGTTTTGTCTGACCAAAACGTGTCAGTGTCAAATGCCAAGTGTTAACTACCAAACACTTTATATCAAGTTTAGAGTTATGCACTAATGCAGCGCAGATATAAAGCCTAAAATCTTAAAGCATCACTCACGAATCCCTTGCAGCTCAGGATATTCTCTGATTTTATGGATAATTCCTCTGCTTCCTTCCAGGTTTACCAGGCAGACACGGGGCATTTCCTGTGCAAAGACAAATACTTTGGGAGGAAGCTGTCAGCAGAGGGGTTCAGGCAGACCCTGCGGCAGTTCCTGTGCACGGGGAACCAGCTGCGCACGGACCTGCTGGAGCCCATCATCCTGCGCCTCAAGGCCCTGCTGGCCGTCATCAGGAAACAAAGCTCCTACAGGTTCTACTCCAGCTCCCTCCTCATCATTTACGACGGGCAGGAGCACAAGGAGAGCGCTGATCATCACCTCCCCTTCCCCAAAACTCACAGCACGAACCCCTGCAGGGTGGATGTGAGGATGATAGACTTTGCCCACACCACCTTCAAAGGCTCCAAGAGCAACCCCAACTCCACCCTGTACGACGGGCCCGACCACGGCTACATTTTTGGCCTGGAGAACCTGATCAAAATCCTTCAGAGCCTGTCAGAAGGGAAGTGAGAATTTCTGTGAAATGGCCTGGATTTCCTAGTGACTGATAGCCCTGAAAATCCCGCCTGGGGTTGGCTGTGTGGGACCCTCTGGCTGCTGGATATGGCACGGAATTAGCACGGATAAATCGGGAAGTGCTGAAAACTCCCCTTGTGCTGTCACTGAACTGAAGTGTGGAAACAGAGCTGGAGGAATCTGCTCCCTCTGCCATCCATCAGAAGATTTATTTTCCTTTCTGGTTTTACTGTTGTCCTTGATTTATTTGTGAGCCAAAGAAAGCATTACTTGGGAAGAGTCTTAATGATAAACCAGGAGCTGCTCGCCCCGCAGCCGAGCGGGTTTGGGGCAGGAATGAACAGATGGAGCTTCCCTTTGGAGCTTCCCTTCCTGCTCCTGCTCAGGTGGGAGGGAAAAACACCCTCCAACATTCCCAGAGCCCCTGGTCGGGATTCTCTGTGCACGTGTTCAGACCAAGAGCTGCACCTCTCCAAGCATGAACATCCCTGTGGTGTTATAACAGGGGATTTTCCATGGATTTTCTAGGAAAGAGGCTTCACTGGGGCTGGAAGCATGGGAATGCAATGACTCTGTCAGGTACCAGCCACAAAAATTCATTCACATCAAGGGATTTTTGCTTAAAAAAAAAACAAAAAACCAAAAAAACAAACAAGAAAAAAAGAAAAGTGTGAGATTGAGTCAGGAACTGGACGTCAAAGGTCACCCAGAAATTCTTTGAGACAAATACTGTGTGTGTGAATGTGTGTGTGTGTGCGTGTGTGTGTTTGAAGGAGACAGTAACAAAAGACTCTAAAAATAATGTTTACAGCTTTTGTGGACTGATTTTATTATTATGACGGAACAAATATAATTCCTTCCTGCATGGTGTGGGAAATCTGAAGAAGTTCTTGCACAAGGAATGGAGCTACAGAACTCCGCTACCGGGGAGTGGGGATATAAATAAAATTGTGGAAGTAACTCCCACTGTTGTCCATCTCTTTTTCCCTCCCGCAGCATCCTTGAGGTACATTATGCTTTGTTTAAGCCCATAATTTTTTAAGAGAGCCGTTGTTGCCACAGGTTTAAACACCAGATCCCAAGGGAGACGCTTCACTTGGATTTACAGCAGAAAGCTGGGGAGCTGATGCAATTTATAGCTGGAAAATTTAAGACATCTGGCCCAGTTGTGTATTTTGCTTGGCCCGGAGTCCACCTGGGAAGACTTTTGTTCACAGTTTTGGGTTATTGCTTGACCACAAACTGTATAAAAACAAGCCACAAAAACCCAATTTCAGTAGGGATCGAGCCACAGGCTGTCCTGGCTCACATCAGAAATCCGTGATAAGACTTTGTGGCTTTGTGGATGAGTTTGTGCAGAGCCACATGAGCATCCTCAGGGGGCACAGCAGGACACGGGTGGGACAAGGGGTGGATGAGAAGGGTCCGGGTGTGACACCACAGCCAGAGCTCCTCATTTGGCAGCCCCTCACTCTTCACTGCTGCACAGAAACAACTTGTTGCCTGAATAATGAGAAAAAGCTCAACGTCCTCCCTTTTTAGCCCTCATACACCTGCTCAGTGTGGCTGGGAATGTCCAAGGCCGGGTTGGATGGAGCATCCTGAGATGGTGGGAGGTGTCCCCTGCCCATGGCAGGAGGTGGAATGAGATGGGATTTAACTTTAACTCAAACCATCCCAAATCCTGTGAGGAACAGCTGAGGGAGATTAGGGAAGGGTCTGGAGCACCAAGAAAGGCTGAGGGAGATTGGGGAAGGGTCTGGAGCACCAGGAGAGGCTGAGGGAGATTGGGGAAGGGTCTGGAGCACCAGGAGAGGCTGAGGGAACTGGGGAAGGGGCTGAGCCTGGAGAAGAGGAAGCTCAGGGGGAATTTCAGGCTCTGCACAACTCCCTGACAGGAGGGGACAGCCAGAGGGGAGGTTGGGCTCTGCTCCCAAGGGACATGGCAAGGGAAACGACCTCAAGCTGAGCGAGGGAAGATTCAGGTTGGAATTCCCTCATGGAAATGGCGGTCAGGCTTTGGAAGGGGCTGCTCAGGGCGGTGTTGGGAGTCCCCATCCCTGGAGGTGCGGCACTCAGCGCTCTGCGCTGGGGATGGGGC